CCAATAGCCCTCTCCTTCCTCCCCCCTCCTCACATCTTCCATATTTTATTTATTTTTATTTATTTATTAATTTGAACATGATACAGAGAAGTACAAAGGAATACAGTTATTAAAGTGCAACATGCCAAAGCCCCTTGTATGCAGAGCATTATGGGCAGGCTTAAAATTAACTTAAGATTAACTAAGCAATGATATATTCAGCGGTAAAAACATTATTGTAAACAGATAACAATTTAGTACAAATATGCCAACAAGAGTCTTCAATAAAGGTAAAGGTGATATTAAATGTTCATTTATCCATTTCATTAGGTCTTTATATTTATTTCTCATTGTTTTCTGTATGTAAAACTATAGTTATTCTCTATAAAATGTATTTTTTGTTAATACTTTGGGTGTCTGGAATGGATTAATTGGATTTACATTATTTCTTGTGGGAAATATTGCTTCAGTTTTCATAGAATTCGATTTTCGTTGGACTTTCTGGAACGAATTAATGATGAAAACCGAGGTTCCATTGTATGTAGAAATTTCTTTTTATTCATCGTGTAAGAGTCCATGTACATTTACTGCCTGCATTTCTTCCTGATCATAAGATAGTTAAGAAGAGCACCTTTCATGGTTATCTGCTCAATCCAAACATTCATTACTGTACCTTTTCTGTCTTATTTAGTTGTGATGAGCTATTTATCATTCATTTCAGGGTGTAGCAATTGGGAATATTCATTGCAAAACCTCTTATCTTTTTGTTTTTTAATAGTATGAATTGCTGCTTGTTGAGACCAAAGGCATGAGCTGTTGCCACATGTAAGTCTGCCCGAAATGCCTAGCCATGCTAGATGTCCTAAGTGGCCCCCTCTGTAATTAGTATTTTATAACATGTAAACCACACAATATCCAAAATCTGTAAACCCCGCGTTATAATCTTTATAGAGAATAAACTTAATTGATTGATGTAGCAGAACACCAAGAATTTGTACTTTTTCTTCTTGGATACCTCCAGAATTACTAGTTTTCCTCTTTGGTGTCATAGTTAATATATGGAGATGAGATGGTCTTATGAAAAGATTAAAAAGTGACTGAGTCATACAGAACCGAGTTAGGTATGAGTGCATACACATAGTGAACTGGTGTGTAAGAACTTGTTTACATTGCCTGTTGGCTCATTACTGTGCAGAGGGGAAAGATCCCACATATTTTCCATTAAATTTATGGCATGTTATTTGATTATCTTCAGGTTCTATACGAAAGTAAGTTGCAGAATTTCAGTCGCGTTTTAATGAAAATATATTGCGTGTTATTCGAGAGCCTTCTGTACCGGGTATAGATTGTGTAACAATACACTAGAAAACTACACTATATACTCTGTTCATAAATGTTTTCTCTTTTCATTATTTTATTGATTTACTTAATTAAAAACTTCAGAAACTTAGAGTAATAATAAACTGAGCACTGAAAGAACCAATATTGTTGCATGTAATACTCTGACAGTGGCTTAGTCATCATATTTGTGCACTGTATATTCTGCCAGTAAATATTGTTTATTTGTTGTCATTATTGAGCCTGTGGCACAAAAATATTTGCCAACATTTGTGAAAGAGAGAAAACAGATCACCTTCGACTGAGCTACCCTGTGTCAGGTACTCACAACAGTAATGCATCTAGTGCAGTAATTGAAGGATTTTACTCAAATCTGGGAAAAATTGTGCTTTTACTGTACATTGGTTAATGGTCCAAGAAATGCTGTAATCCAAAATCTCTCTAGTGATGCCACACAGTATCAATAGCCTTGTCATTGGTATGTAGCAAAAAATTTCACAGTAATTTAAAAACAAATCGTTTTATTAAAAATAATTTATATTAAATTTTTGGTGGTAAAATGTAATTGTTGTACCGTACTGTATATTCTTGACCATAAGTCAAGGAAAATACTCTCCATTTAAAAAATATGCAGCACTATCTATGGGTTACGTTTCTAAAATCAATGCTGTATGTAAAATTGATATGTGTAATGTGCGTAAAATGGGAAAAAATAGGGTTGTGATGTACAACCCTCCAAAAAAAAGGTAAAAATTTTATTATTTCTAAATTCATCCAACTTAGATTACAGATGTTGTTAGTTGTTGATCTAGAAATGTGTGGCGAGTATTGATGTTATCCCACTAGCCTAGCTGGGTTAACCTCATTCAGGCCATCCATTCTCACTCTGAAATTATCAGACAGCCCCAGTACTTAGTCATCCTGTACGAAAATGGTGCACGCATCTTGACATGCAGTGATGAACTGTGCCTAAGGCTGCCTATGATGACATGCAGGAAAGTTTTGTGGATCATACCTCAAATGGAAGACAATTGCCTCTAAACAAAAAGCTATAAAACGAGCTGCAGCTGCCAGAAATGCTCGTCCCCTATCTTATGGGGAAGGCCTATGTAATACAGCCTCTCCTCACTTAGCGACGTACTTGTTTACTGACGACTCGGACTTATGACAGGGTCTCTGACCAGTATGCATACCTAAATAATGTATATTAGAGTTGATTTTCTTTATTCTATTTATTACAATATAAAGTACACTACTGTATAAACATTTAAAAATATTCTAAATATGTTATAAATGGTGCAAAGATGACATTAAAACAATATCAAACATGGTTGACACAAACCGCTACCACAATGTGCTCCTTGCTTAGCGATTAATTCGTTTACCAGCGTGGTCTTAGGAATGGAACTCCGCCATTAAGTGAGAGGCTGTATACATAACCACCCTCTCCTTGGTACTCTGTTCACAAAATTCCAGTACCATACTCAGCCTGTGTTAGTGAATTGGTTTTTGATCTTATCATACCATTTTGTCTCTGGATAGTAACCATTACACACAAGAAGAATGTGAGTGAATCTGGAAGTGCAAAGAAGCATAAACATGAAAGCCATGGTGTTTTGAAGGAAATCAAGATATAAGGTAAGTTTAAGGGTGGCTCATGTGTGAGTGAAACGGCATGATCCTGTTACCTGAATGAGGCAACAGTTCACACAATTAGGAAGAATGAGGCAAAGACTCGCATCTTTGCCTCATTCTTCCTAATTATGTGAACTGTTGCAATGAGTAATCCAGGGTGATATGAAAGCTATAACAAATAGATCAAAACAGCTGAATAACATAGAAGAGTTATTGAGCTATCAGAGTGAGCAAAAAACCAAGAAAGGTGCACCACTTCCTTTTGTTTTAATAAAAAGTATTAGA